TTTGAAACAGCTGACGAGCTGTCGAAGCGACGCCTCCAAGACACCTGCCGGTCATATGACTGGTCACCTGACTGGGCGATCTGACCGTACTCGGTTGTCTGGCAACTGAGAGGAGAAATGAGAGAGTAAAAAAGGTCCTCTCTTTGTCAGAAGTTTCCTGTTTTAGTCCGAAGATTTTTTGCTGGTAAAGGACGGTCCACACAGAAATTTCGCGTTGGCTTTGGCGTTGGTTTGAAGAACGCACGTTAGAAGTATGCTTGCTATAATGAATGCTTGGCAGAGAATGCTTGGGCCACTAAATTAACATACTAACGACAGATAAATTAATATTTCATATCAATAATTGCATTAAAAACGATTGGGCTCTTCAGGATGTTAGGGAAATTGTCTTGGATTTGCAGTTGGAATTGCATTTGCAAATTTTATGCTTGCTGCCATGGTAACCGTCTGCATTTTATTGTTGTGAATTTACAAATGCAACGAATATGCAAATGCAAGAGCATATTCACAAGATCCTGAACAGCCCTTATATTTCTTGCCCGCACTTGATCAAGAAGGAAAAATATTTCGCATCATTTTATTTGTTTGCAATAGCTGGCGAGAGACGCACCCGAAAAGTTGAGAGATGGCCATCTTTTTGCTTTGTGTTGGCGTGAGCGTTGTCGAATTTTCGCTAAGTGGACGGCTGTATTTGAATTCATGTATTCATAGTCGAAGCGACGCCAACGCCAACCCAACGCTAAAGTTCTATGTTTACGGGCCTTGAAATCCTGGTAAATATGTCAAACGATCAGCTGTAGTGTGTTTGACAACCAAATTGCAAACAAAAGAAAAGTGAACTTTGCTAATGCATGTTATAAAATACTTAATTACAGGTTTGAGTGGATTCTAGTGAATTTGTAAGTATTTTTGGTTATTTACATGTGTGAGCTGAGTGCGTTTACTTAAAAAGTAAGAAAATTTTTACAAGCAAAATTTCGAGGTTAAGTTTAAGTTGTTAGTAGAAGTTACCATTTTTACTAGAAGTTACCATTTACTAGAAAGCGATCCCGTACTTTTCAGTGTTACTCGCTCTGACTGCTTTTTAGTTTTTGAGTTTTACTATATTTAGTCCGAGGAATACGGGATCAAACCTAACATTAGGTGCACCTCATGAACCAATTATACAAGTCTGACCGATTGACACGAAGCCATTTGCAATTGAATTTGAAAATATGCAACGTTCGTAGTTTAGAAGCTTGCGGTTTCTGTTTTTATATCTTTATGTGCATTTTGGTGGTAGTTTATTTCAGTGGTTTTGAAGCGATTTTCAATAAATTTTTGTTAAAATATAATTATAATTAGGGGATTCCCTTAAACGCGAAGAGCAGAAAACTCGAAAACCTCGAATGTTGTCGAGGCTGTTTTTGGGAATGCACCTTTTTTCAGCCTCGTAAACAAT